ATCCCGATGTCCAAATCTTCGGTGCCAGACGTGCTGACAATCAACTTCGTGGTGGTCGTTCACAGCCATCGAAACTTCACAAGTCGTTTTCACCTTATAAAGGCCACTTGTTTTCTCGGCGACAATTGCCACGGTACCACCAACAAGAACACGACATCCTCCAGCGTCGAACATCACAGCAGCTCCCTTCTCTGTGAGCTTTGGCACTGACATCAGGTTCATTTCCAAGCTTGGAACAAACAACACGTTGCTTAGAGACACATCGGTTGTTTTTCCGTCTCCATGGTAACACGAAATTTTTCCGCTACCAGCACCTTCGACCTTCGCAACTTTTCCATCAGCCAGAGTAACGGTTTTCACTTGGCTCTTCTGGATTTCCTCGAAAAAATCGGAGTCACAGCACATGTGCGCGGACGCACCTGAATCCACAATCCATTCCGCATGGTCCGATTGCTCATGCACTCCCAAAGCAAACGTAACGGTTTCGTTTTCACTGCGCACGCTTTTCACCTTCGGGGATTTTTCCTTACCGTCAACCGATTCCTTCGCATACAGCCTGCATTCCGATTGCTTGTGTCCAGGTTTGTTGCAGAAATGGCACGTTAACGGCTTCTTCTTCTTCTTCTTCTGGAATCCTGCTTTCATCGCTGAACTTGAAGAACCTTGACTTCGTCTCTTCGCCACTTCATCTAACAGCTTCCCTTTCACCAGCTCCAGTTTCAGCTCCTCATCGGACCGGCTTTCCAGGGCCGTGGTCAACGTATCGAACGAATCAGGCAGGCTCCTAAGAACGAGGGCGACCATTAACGCTTCACCCAGGTTCAGTCCAGCGCACGACAGCTTCGTGAACAACTCTTCCAGCTCGAAAAGATGATTCTGCATGTCGTCCCCGTCGTTGAATGATATGTTGCAAATCCGTTTCAGCAGCGCAACCTTGGAACAAAGGGATGTTTTTTCGTGGTGTTTCTTGAGGCTTTCCCAGGCTTCCTTGGCGTTCTTCGTTTCGCGAATCAGCATGTGTTGTTGGTCTTCGACAAGCAGCGCAATCGTCGCTCTTGCCTTCCGGTCACCGGATTTCCAGCCTTCCGTCACCGGTTCTGGAGCCGCGTCTTCGATGTACCGCCACAGGTCCTCCCTGGTCAGCAGCATCTCCGCCTTGAACTTCCAAACCGAATAGTTGGAATTGTTCAGTTTAACAACCGACACTTTGTTGCCTTCCATGGAACTTCCAGAATTTTCACACTGAAGTGAAAAAAAAAATCTTCAAACAAATTCAAACGTTGCTATGCGACGGTTGTCCTGGGCCCATAACCTATTGGACTATTCGGAAGGGCAAAGAAGTTCGACTGAACGGTTTAGCGGTAGACAAATGACTAAATTTTCTTTATTACAGGTATCACTTATATACTAGAACAGGGAATCACTGGTTGCTTCGATTCGGATACTCTAACATATACTGCTACGGTCTCTTATGACTTCCGTAAAGCTGACCACCGTAGCATCATAGATGTGTTGTCTAGCATGGTCCAGATGACGTTGAGGCTGCAGCGCAAACCTTTTCACATGTCTTGGCATATGTCATTGACAGACACGTCCCGAAAAGAACTCACCACAAAGTGTCTCACCCTCCCTGACAGACGAGAGAGCTACGTAGGTTGAAGTCAATCAAGAGAGCAGCATTGAGTAGATTTAGGAAGTATCGCACGCTTCCTCTGAAACTACATTATGTGAGGCTGAATCACATGTACCAGCGAGTCAGTCGTGAATGCTTTTCAAGTTTCCAACAAGGCATCCAGCGCAAACTGAAGCTACACCCGAAATCCTTTTGGAACTACGTGAACGAGCAACGCAGGGAATCCGGCCTCCCATCGTCTATGGAATTCAACGGAGAAGTTGCTGCCACTGTTCAGGATATATGCCACCTTTTTTTCCGAAAAGTTTGCCAGTGTATTCACTAATTAGACACTAACTGGCGACCATATTAACCTGGCTGCCAGGAACGTTCCAGTAAACGATCAAACGCTGGGTGCATTTGATGTTAATGCAGAAATGATTTCTAAGGTCGCGACTCCGCTCAAGTCATCCTTCAATCCTGGGCCTGATGGAGTTCCATCTGTATTTTTGAAGAGACATATTGCTAGCTTGTTAATTCCGCTTCTTCGCCTGTTCCGAATGTCTCTCTCAGGTGGCATATTTCCATCTTGCTGGAAATCTGCGCACATGTTTCCCGTCCACAAAAAAGGAAGGAAACGAGCTGTGGATAACTATCGAGGAATTACATCGTTAAGTGCCGTTTCGAAGCTATTCGAGCTAGTGATTATGGAACCGTTGCTGTCCCATTGCAAGCAGTATTTGAGTGCTGATCATCATGGGTTTACTGTCGGCCGCTCTACAACTACCAATCTGCTGTGTCTCACATCGTATATAACCGAAAGCATGTCGGATCGGGTTCAAACGGACGTTATTTATTCAGACCTATCCGCAGCATTCGACAAGTTGAACCATGCTATTGCGATTGCTAAACTCGGCAGACTCGGTGTATGCGGTAATCTTCTGAGTTGGTTTCGATCATATCTTACCGGTCGGCAACTAAAAGTTGCCATAGGAGATTGCAGATCAGCTAGCTTCTTCGCCACATCAGGTATACCTCAGGGAAGCCACATGGGACCGTTAATTTTTATACTGTACTTCAACGACGTGCATCTGGTCATCGAAACTCCCCGGTTATCATATGCAGATGACCTCAAAATCTTCCTACGAATCTGCTCCATTGCTGACTGTCACTTTCTTCAACGTCAACTGAATGTATTCGCTAGTTGGTGCAGGTTAAACAGAATGGTAGTGAACCCAGCCAAATGCTCCGCTATTACGTTCTCACGAAAACAACAACCGATAATATTTAGCTATGACCTGCTTGGCTCGACAATCGAACGCGTGAATCAGGTGAAAGACTTGGGTGTGATCTTGGATTCGCAGCTTTCATTCAAGCAACACATTGCATATGTTGTTGATAAGGCGTCAAGAACTTTAGGGTTCATTTTTAGGATAGCTAAAAACTTCACTGATATCTACTGTCTAAAATCTCTCTATTGTTCGCTTGTTCGATCGACGCTTGAGTATTGTTCAGCGGTTTGGAACCCAAACTACAACAACGGTGCCGAGAGAATTGAATCTGTTCAACGTCGCTTTCTTCGTTTTGCGTTGCGTAGATTGCCTTGGAACGATCCGTTTCGATTACCAAGTTACGAAAGCCGTTGTCAACTTATCGACCTAGAACTTCTCCGGACTAGAAGAGACACAAGCAGAGCCCTAACCGTGGCCGATATCCTACAAGGAAGGACAGATTGTGAGGCTATGCTGAGGCAAATTGACCTGAATGTTCAACCCCGACCGCTTCGTAATAACCTTATGCTAAGACTGCCTCTACGTCGCACAAATTATGGAGCGTACGGTGCGCTTTGCGGACTGCAGAGAACATTCAACAGAGTTGCGTCTGTTTTCGACTTTCATCTCTTCCGTGATGCGCTTCGTCGAAAGTTTTCTTCTGTTTTTCGCCGGCAGGAGTTAAGATATTGACTATAAGATATACGTTTTTTAATGTTTTTTTTTATGTTATGACCATGCTTGAATGTATTTTTTTTTACCATAGTTGTTAAGGTTAAAATCATTGGGGCTTCATCCAGCCTGTTGATGTAAAACAACAATAAACAATAAACAATAAATCCTGATGAATGTGGGCGTCTTAGTGGAATACCTGTATAATGAGAGAGAGAAGGATTAGTATTTTCCATTTAATTCCACTACTTTATTTGCTTATCCTTGACAGATACGCGTATTTCGTCTACAATGTGCAGACTTCTTCAGTGTCTTGTACTAATACTCGACTATTAGTACAAGACACTGAAGAAGTCTGCACATTGTAGACGAAATACGCGTATCTGTCAAGGATAAGTAAATAAAGTAGTGGAATTAAATGGAAAATACTAATCCTTCTCTCTCTCATTATAATAAACAATAGAATACGGGATGCCAATCTGGGAGAGTTGCGCCAAATGCCATTACCTTAAACTCCAAAGGATCCAGAACAAGATCCTTAGGATGGTCCTAAACAGTCCCCCGCGGACTAGAAATGCTGAGTTCCACCTCCTGGCTGGAATTCAGACATTAGAAGAACGGAGAGTATTCTTCCTGAAAAGGTTCAGAGGCACCTGTCTGAGATCAAATCATCAGATTATACGTGATCTAGCACGTTAGGTTATAAGTTATATTTGTAGGTTAGGTAGGTTTTCTCTTTTTTCAATTTAAACAAAACACACCCCCAGAGGGGTATTCTGTAAACTAGTTGAAAACGTAAATATTAAATTAGAATATCAAATTAAATAAAGATGAAGACCCAGGTAGGCTAATCAATTAAAATGTTAAATCAATGTACTATCATAATCAACAGAAATAAACATAACTTTACTAGTACTTCTACATCAATAAAAAAGCTATAAGTAGTGAAAGACCTACCAACCCCATTCTCAAACTTGAAATAGTCTAAAAATATTGATCTTGGTGTCTTCGGCGCACTTATTTCAACGGAAATCAAGCTGAACATTGCATTAGGTCCTAAGTGGCATTGATCGATTCTCTTCGTCGACTTTCTCTTTCGTTAATAACTTGAGCACATAACCGTTTATTGTTGTGTTACGTATTACGTGCAAGATAAAAACTTCTTTTATCGATCTGTGCTGAAAATACTTGGGAATCACCCCTATTCTGCATTTCCGTTCGGAACGAATTTCCCATACAAAAAAAAAATCCGTTTCGAACGTAATGCAGAGTTATTGCACATTTATCGCATTATCGCAAACTCGACACTACTTTGTCGAGTTTGATAGGCAAAAATGTGCAATAACTCCATCAGGTTTCGTTTCGGACTGAAAAGAATGCTAACTCAGCTTGTTTTAAAACTAATTTTATTTGATATTTTTATGTTTCTTTTTCAGATTTTACACTTTTTTTTTTTGCTCATTTTATCTATCTTTTCTGTTCTGTTGATGTTTGTCAATGTTGCGGTCAGAAAATGTTTCATCAATTTATATTAAGCGATTATCATATTTTGAATCTACGGTACTAATTTTCTAAAGTTGTGGCTGCTGCTAAAAATTCAATTCGGTTATCCATGAGGTGTGTTTTGCCATAATTTGTTTTCCTTTTTTTTTCTTACTATAACTAAGAAACGTTTCCTTTATTCATGTCCCGGAGAACTACTACCTACAACACATTTTACATCTTTTCAGTTGTTTTACTAAGTTTTGTTTTTCTGCCATCGGTTAGCTGTCCTCTAAAATTGCATCCTTATCTTATACGATTTTATTGGTTATACTTTCCAATTGAATCTTGGGTTCGATCTTCCTTCAGGGAAGTTTTCATGTAGGATACTTCTAAATACTTATAACAAATCTCATATCTTGTGATAATAATAAAAAAAAAATAAACGCGATAATTAGATATATTTTTTAGAGTTCGGGAACAAAAGAGGGAAAACCAGAAAGGATTTTAGAAAATGAAGGCTAAACGAAAACTGAACTAAAATCAATTTTTATTGAACTTTTGCACTAAGTAAGAACGTCAAGTTCTCACGATTTATTTAAAAATTTAAGACGTCCACACGAACGTGGCAAAACGGAGTGTTTGGATTTGTGGTAAAACAAAACACCTTTTAGGTACAATATGCAAGATGTTCGAGACACACGGAAAAAGAGTGTGGATATTGGTGTGAGCGGAGGGAGACGAGGGATCCCACATTTACATGACAACACAAAACGGCCGTTGTTTGTTCGTAACGTCCTTCACTTCGACCGGTGGTTCGCTTCCGTCGCCGGAACCATCCTCCTGCGTTGCTCCTTCCTCGCTGGGCAGATCGGTTTGACCTTCCGTGCTTTGCTGTTGTTGTCCTTCTTCCGTCTTCTCCACTTCCTCGGCCTTCTTGGTCTCATCCGGTGTCGTAGCAGCTGCCTCGGTTGTGTCCACCTCCATATTAGCTCCTTCACTGGAGATGTTTGCGGTGGTGGTGGTGGCTTCCGCCTGGACACATTTGCTGGGATCTTCATCGTCGAAGTTTCGCTTGGCGACCGGGGTGCTCGACTGGAGACGAACTCGAGACAGACGATTTTTGAGCATGGTAACCGGGCTGGAGACCATTCCGAAGAAGCCACTGAAGTCCAATCGGGTGCGTTTCGGACTGTCTATGACTTCCTTCACGTCCAGGGCATCGGAAGTGGATTCCGGAGTCATGACCTTGCGCTTGCGCGATGATCCCGGAGCTGGAGTGCGGAGACTATCGTTGTGGATTTCCGAGCCAACGGTCACGTTCAAACTGGACGTGGAATCGTTCGGTTCGGTGGATTTGCGATACGTGTACTGAATGTCCGAGATGGGTCGCGTTCCACGGCGACCGGAAATTGCACGCAGTGGACGGTTGAAATCCATCGACGGGGAAGTTTCCTTCGAATCTGTAGCGCTGCTCTGTCCTCCCTCGCTGACAGTGCTGAGGTTGACGATCGTGCTGGTATTGGTAGCGGCTTCGTGCACTCGGTATGGACTGATACGAGCCCGCGTCGGTGGTGCACCGGTGTATTTAAGCAGTTTGGTTTTACCACCGGTTCGAGGAGGCATAGGAGAATCCTCGTACTCGGATGGTTCAACGATCAGCGATTCCATTTCATCGCCTTCGGCGGTGAATCCTTTCAGAGTCTTCTCGGCGGCCAACGAGGTGTCAGGTTTGGTCTTCTGATCTGGGGTGACCACCGGTGTCGTTTTCTTGCCAGGGCTTTCCGGGGTCTTGACTTGCTCGACCGGAATCGAGTCCGATTGCTGTTGCTTCTGAGGAGTGGAACGAGGACTTGCCCTGGGGCTTTCCTTGACCTTCTTTTCCTTTTCAACCTTTTCTACCGTTTCCTGCTTGGGAGTTTCCGGTTTGGCCAGCACTGCCGGCTCCTCATGATTGCCGTTGGTTTCCTTCTCACTGTGATTGCTACCATTGCTGCTGCCATTGGTGGCTCCCTTGTCCTTCTCGTCCTTTTCCTTATTCGGTGGGGTGGCGGTGCTGATAGGAGTCTTGTCCAGCTTGGTGACGGCTACAACCAGATTCGACGTTTTAGGAGCGTCTTTCAGAGCCGTAGGTTCCTGTACGCCGGCAACCTCCACGACCGGACTCTGTTTGCCACCGCTGGATGACTTGAGCGATAATTTGGAGGAGGCTTTGGCGGTAGCGCTGTTCCCGTTGGTCGGAGGAGCGGGGGACGTCGCACTGCCTGTGGTACCAAGATTCTGGTAGATCTGAGGAGTACGTCGCCCGGAGGTCGGCTGTTGGCTCGATTGCACTTGCAAGGACATTTTGCTGCTTTACTGGTTACACTTTGTCGGGTAAATTTGGCTTCCTGAAAAGGGAACGAAATAGGAGAATCTTAGTTTTGGGTGTTCAATCTAATGGGACATTGCGCGACAGTTATATTATGGGTGCGAACCGTACAAGAGGCAGTGAAGCTTCACCGTATAAGACAGCCATGATGTCGTGAAGCGTTAAAGGGTAACCCAACACCGGCAGATAAACAGACAAACAAAACTGATGAAAGCGAGATGTCGATATCAGTTACAGCCGGTGTTGTATGCTTCTCGCTTTCAAGAACCGGACGGTCGGATCGAACCAAAATCTCTTCATCTTCCAACGAAAAAGAGACGTTAATTCAAAAGATATGTTCAAGTGCTTCACTTTAAGCTCATTTCCACCCCTCATACCGGTAGTTCCAACCAATACCAAATTGGCCTCCGGCCGAAAAACTCTCATAAGTCTATCTAAACCATTTTTTGTATGTCGTATTATTCGACTGTAGCTTTTTTGAATGCTCCTCGCACATGTTCAACGGTGTTGGATTGTGGTGTTGAGGTGGCTGCTTATGGTGGTAGTGATACGACTGAAACCGGGTGGTTGTGTACTAACGTCGTCGGTCGCTCTCGCTGCTTTGCTGACTGAGTATATGTGCTGATACGGATCGTTAATCATCACCAGTCGCTCCACTACTTGCTTGAAACGATCATACGATTCGTCTGTCTGAGTGTGGTGCAGAAATTCACCTCTCTGGTCCATTCATTCGGTCAATGTATTTGAAAATACACTCGTCGGGCAATTAGCTAGCTATACAGAAGACTATGCTTGTTGACCCTTTGCCGGCTGTCTTCACTGGAAGTGTATGGATAGAGAGAGAGAGAAGCCGGTCTAGCCCGCCTTCCCCATTGAAGCTGCCTGTTGCGCGAGCGTCGCTCGAATATGCAAACCAGGAAGGAATGCTACCTTCCTACATATAGCTACTATACACATGGGATATTGTATAGGTTGCATGATTTAAAAAGGAATGAACGGAGAAGTAGTTTGCAAAACATTTGGAAATGAACTTTCCATTCCCGCTTTAAACGAAATTAAAGGACTGACTAATAACATGTCATCATTCTTTCTCTTTAACATTACTGTGGATGAACATGGAACATGAAGAAATGCGACCCTAGATAGGTTTTGCAGTCGCATAACATGTACAGGCATCTGGAGAAAGACAAAAACAAACTCGATCAGACGTGACTTGCATACATTAAAAACGTTCTTTAAGTCGGTATGTTAATTCGAAGTTGGAAAAGACAAAAGGAATAGTACTGATTTATGGTTTTCCAAGTAGAAATGGAATGTTATGGCTACATTCATACGGACAGCGTACGACTGTCACGTGCTGCTAGAGACCAGCGATCACCAAAGTGTGTCCCGCGGTTGATTGGTTCTCAGTTGTTCGTCTTTTTAAAGTGAATAGATACAGCCAACTCTCCATTTCTCGGTATTCCTCCCTATTTCGCTGATTCGAGCAGTCTCTTCAGATGCCTATACATAATGCCGTTCCACGCATATCCACCAAATCTAAATGTCCCATGTTGAAATTCTACGCATAATTGTCCCATAAAGATTATTTTATACTGAATCCGTCATAAACGAATAAATCTGAGTGCACAATTGTGATTGACACAGGATTTATATGATCACAAAAAAACGGTAAGAGGCATTTGAAGAAGTAGGACTCACTATATTGATTTTAAACGATTTATTACAAAATATTTAATACAAAAGGAGGCAAGTGGCGGTCTACTCCACCTACTATCCAAGCTCATGGCACCACGATCTCAGATCCGAAGAATATCGCCGACGAATTAGGGAACTATTTTGCCGTTTTGTCTGCTGTCAGTGGCTACGACAGCGAATTCAACCCCTCCACAAGCAGCATTCGTGATTTTCGAATTCCTCCTGATGTTCCTTCTCTCCAAATCAACGAAGTTTTTACCTTCCGGGAGCTTCAGTTTGCCCTCGGCAGCAGTAGTGGTAAATCTGTTGGGCCGGACGAGATTGGATACCTCTCTCTCGACGGAAAAACGAGGCTACTCGCCCTCTTCAACGATCTATGGCTCACCGACTCGTACCCGGACCTCTGGAAACAAAGCTTGGTAGTGCGCTCACTTGCTGCATGGCAAAAGTGATGGAGAGAATAGTAAATCGTCGCCTCAAGCAGTTCCTGGAGTCAAACGGTCTCCTTGACGAACGGCAGCATGCGTTTCGGCAAGGACACGGTTCCTCTACTTACTTTGCGGTTCTCGGGAAAGTACTTAAGGAAGCCTAGGACAAAGGTCACCACGCGGAGTTAGACTCCAATTTTCTCCTCCTCCTCCTCTACCGTACTTTCCAGGTGACTGTCGGGAACACTCGCTCAAATCCGTTTCCCGAGGAAACTGGAGTACCCCAGGGTTCCGTCATAGCGGTAACGCTATTCTTGGTGGCAAATCAACCGACTGCCCAAGAACGTGCACGTAATCATTTATGCCAATGACATACTCATCGTCGTAACGGGACGAACGACTAAGCGGACCAGGAATATAGGCCAAGCAGCAGTCTCCGCCGTCAGCAGGTGGGCGTTTTCGGTTGGCTTCCAGCTCTCCGTGCCGAACAGTGTACGGTGCCATATCTGCCACTCGGGTCATCTGATTCGGGGACCACCGATCACCATCCAAGATCATCCGATTCCGCTCAAGAAAACAGTGCGTGTTCTGGGGGTTGTTCTGGATCCCACCCTAAGCTTCGATCAGCACTTCAGGATGGTGAAAGAAAACTGTCGTAGCCGCATCAACATCGTCAGGACAATCTCCCGCCCGTACCGCTCCAGCAACCGTGAGATCCGCCTTCGTGTCACCCAGGCTGTTATTGAGAGTCGACTTTTCTACGACCTCGAAATGACATGCTTAGCCACCGAAAAGCTCAACCGCATCCTCGTTGCCCTTGTCGCTAAGACATCCGGGAACGATAGGGTCTTTCTCCTCAATAAGGGGAACAGAGCCCCCCGCACTACAGCCAACCTTGACCTCCCCCCGGTGACCAGGGTCCACTGGCATGGAGAGAAGAGTTGGCGATCAAACGTTATCAAAATAGATAAGCGGATTAAAAGTGGATTCAGGCCGGAGATAACTCCGCAGCGATGAGGCGTTCTGTTGCAGAGCTTCTCGGGTCGGTCTATTCAGGGCACGTTCATCGCTTTACAGACTGATGAACCAAATCTAGCGCTCTCGTCGTTGGCTACGTTGATCGTGTTCTTTCGCCTTTCTATTTTTTTGTCTGCCATCGGTGTATCTCTGCCAGACGGGGGCACTGCCTCCTACGGTGGAGCCCTATCTTGTTCGCGCATGCATTCCTCGCCACAGCCCCGTATGTAATTCTCATTTTACATTAAGTTTTTAAAGTGTTATCTGTCTCTCTCGTCGGGTAATCAGAGCCAGTTGTATGGTACGTTAATGTCAAATTGAAACCTTCTTCTGAGGCAGGCCCTAAGTCTAACCTCTTCCTATCTAACGTGATGAACTAACCTAAAAAATAATAATATATAGGGTCCTATTTTAAGATCAAATACCAAAATTTAACATGATATCAAATTCTGACGTTATGTAGCGACGTACTACTTGCAAAATTCACTCATCCACGTCTCTCCTGATGATATTTCCCTTATCAGTGCTTCTACACCAGCCAATTTGGTCGCTCTGGTTGCACTTGAACGCATTTCAGAAATAATCACGCTGGTCCCTATGCCACTGAACTCTGCCGCGCCGGTTCGTGTTGTATGTAGTTGCAGTCATCGTTATCCAGCAGTCGAAGGTGAATCTCCGGGACGTGCGTTAGAAAGCAACACGGAAGCCTCTAATCCACCTAGCACAGTCGAGGCGTTTCCTCATCAATGCAGTCCAAGTCGTCCAGGCCCTGTTTCTGGAGTGCGAGAAGAGGTCTTCCAGCTTGCTCATCAAGGCAAGTATCAATGTAATAATGTGTGTTCCCTGCCTGAAGATGTTTCGCCCCACAGTTGGACTATTTGTTCTGCCACTGCGCACTGTACCTGTAACCAGTGTCTGTTTTTATCATTTACCATCACACGCAAGGAGTAGCGCTTCACCCCAGTGTCGATGAATTGCGTTTGTTTTGAACATCTTCGTAGTTACGAAACGAGCGAAATTAACAAATGAGTTTATTATACATCAACGAATACGCGTTTGTTGATATTCACCAGTGCTCGATTATCAAACCCAAATTTGTCAAAATCAGAAGTGATCCTCAAAAGCAAAATAATCAACGAAATTTTGGGCAAAATGATTATTTTGAATATTGTCGACCACACTGCCTTAATCATCGATATTACCATCAGTTCAGCTTGAGGCAATAATTTGCCGTCGACTTATGTCTAAAAACCACGTTCTTCAGCGCTATATTTGTTTAAAATGAAAATAATCATTTTGCATTTGATCCTCAATATCATCCCGACCAAGATGAAGACGAATATCAATATTAACAACATCAGAGGCGATAATGAGAATCCAGCCACGAATGAAGAAAAACAAATGTTATTTTTGATACTCAGAGGTTGCCTAGATCAAGGGAATTTGTTTATATCAAAATTCAAATTCATCCAGGTTGTTGGTCTATCTGTTAAGGTTTTCTTCATATTCAGCTAAATTGAGTGTAGAAGAAAGGATTTTTATCAGCACTGCCTGTAACATTGAACTTCATTCTGAACACGCTGAGGATGCTTCAAACACTGGATTCCCGGGACACGGTCCTGCATACCGCTGCCTGCAGTCTTCACAGTCGTCCCAGACCCGTTGTTGGATGTAGAGAGAGGGTTTTCCAACCTGCTCTACATAGTAGGCAAGTACCAATGTTGGATTGCCTCTTCCTGATGCCTGTTCGAATTCCAGTGGTATTGTATGCAGCTCTTCGCCTTCCACTACGGCTCCATAGGCCGACAATGCATCTGTTGCAGTTAGCGCTGTAAACGTAGCTCATCTCCTGTGCATATACTACCAGACAGTGCAA